AAAAAAAATTATAATCTTTTTATTTTGCAAATCTTGATTCTCTTCTCTTGATTTTGCTATTTATTTGACTACCAGTTAATACTAGCTGATACCAGTTAACGATTTTTTAAAAAAAGCAAAAACAAAATAACACTAAAACAAAAACTTTTGAAAATATTTAAACCGATTTCTATCTTTGTCTTTATCTCTATTGTTGAAATCAAAAAACAAAAAAAACAAAAACAAAAGAAATGAGCACTCAACTAAAAGGTTCTAATACCTCTGTATATATTTTCGCTCGTCGTAAAATGATTTTTGGAATTTGTCGTGGTTGTGGTAATCCAAATGATGATTTCAATAAATGTCAATCATGTGAAGATTGGATTAACGAAAAAACTCGACTTTTACAAGCCTTACAAGATTTAATCGCACAAAGAGAATATAAAATAAACTTATCAAAAAAAAATATTGAAAAATCTGAATCTGATGGAATTTTGTTATCGCGTGACGATGTAAAGTCTTCTTTGGTAATGGACTCGGAATCTTTAAAAAATAATCATAAGCATTCTGATTTTAAGGTAATAATAATCTTTTGATTACTACTACACGTATGATCTATATTTTAATGAAATGAAAATTGATCTTTCTAATTCATTTAATCATTTTTCAAAAATAGCATTACGCGACACAAAGTAAAGAAAATAATGATCAAAAACTTCATGAATTAGATTATCAAAAATGCATAACTAAAGAACAACGAATTTATACAATGAAATCCTCGGCACTTCAAACTTCATTATCTAGTAAAGAATTTACCCAAGTACAGGATCAAAAACAAGTCCGTTGTGGTTTTAGTCAAACTTATTCTGTTTTTGCATGATCATGATTCCTTTGAACATTTTACTTCTAGTTTCTTTTTTTTTAAAAAAAAAAACTCTAGTAGTTTTGTATCTTACAATTCATTCATTATTTTTTTTATTAAATTTTGAATTATGTCGATAAATCATCATTTGTTTTGTATACTTTATTAAAAGAAACGTTTACAGTAATAAAGAACTTCACTTGATAAAATTATGATGTGCTTCAGGTTATCGTGATAGTTTACAAAGTAATAATTACGAATTACTCCAACATCACCGAGAACATTGAACCTCCATTAATATATGAAATAGAATTTATTGCGGGTAATGTTCTCAAATGAGCTGGTTTAAATAGGCTCAATGAGGCTATCAGATATGAGCCAGATAAATTTAAGAGAAATTTAAAATAGAGGCCCAAAATAAAATATAGAGGTCAAATTTATTACAAACTATCCCTAACTTTTTGTTTTTAGCTGATTGTTTATACTCTATATGTAATATATTGATATAAAGTATCTAATAAAAAACAGAGACAAGACCTTATTTTCAAAAAAAAAAAAAAAAAAAAGGTACTGTAAAATAAAAAGTTTTAGTTTATAATCCTTTTTTTTTTTTTTTAACAACCCTTATTCTAATTTTCAAGAATTATGAATGATGTAACCAAAATTTTGTTTATGAATAAACAAAGAAATGTGCAATCTATATAAAAACGAAAGTTTCTACTTTCAGCATGCTTTTTTTTTCGTATTATATAAAAATGTCAGAAGAAGAAATTACTAAAATCCGAGTTTCACCGATGAAGAAGGAATTACTGAAATTACAAGCAATTTAGGTTAATTAAATTTTACAGATTATCAAAAATTAGCAGATAAGAGAGATTCTAAGGAAATATCATGCTTTGTTACTGTTATGAACATGGAATTGATGTTGAAAAGGATGAGTATAAGACATTCACACACTATCAAAAATCTGCAGAATTAAATAATTCTAATGGGATTGAAGTCGAAATGGATAAACACAAAGCATTCGAGCATTACTTAAAATCAGCTGAAATAGGCGATTTTAACAGAATCTTTAAAATTGGAATTTGTTATTATTACGGAATTGGCGTAGAAAAGAATTCAAAAAGTAAAAGATAATTTATTAATTTTTATTATAATTTCCTAATACCCTTCAAATAGTGCGTGAGTATAAAGATGATTTATTAACGTTAATCAGTTTCATTAAAATCAAGAACATAAATACTTAATCGTAAAGTACTTAACTCTAAATACTTATTTATAATTAATTACCTAATACCTTTCAAATCATTTTATTCAAATTAATTAGTTAGTAAGTACGTATAAATAATTAAAACAATGATTTATTATACAAAAAAAAAAAAAAAAAAAAATAAGAAAATTATAAATAGCGACCTGTCGCCTAATTATAGTAAACAACTTATTATATAGTCACATGCTTAATTTTGATTGGCCAATCATATAGGTCGTCGTCGCCATAAAATAACGCCCTTTTGAAAGAAGTAAGTTATATAATTAACAAATTTATTTACCGGTTATCTAAGTTTTGTTGAACTAATTTATTTAAATTTATAAAGTTTAAAAGTCATATGACATGTAAAAGGAATTATAGTAAATTTGCAATATATGGAATAACTAGAAATATAAAAACAAATGAATACATGATGGTACTTCAGTATGCTGATAAAGGAAGTCTTTATAAATATTTAAGAAATAATTTTAGAGAACTTACTTGGCAGGATAAATTGCAATTACTTTAAAATATTTCAGATGAATTACATGATATTCACTATTATGCAAATTACATTCATGCTGACTTTCACCAACGCAATAATAAAATTATGCAATCTTATATCGCAGACCTAGAATTGTCTAGAAAGAACGATGAGAATATTTCAAATAACAATATTTATGGTGTTATGCCCTACGTTGCTTCGGAAGTTTTATTAGGTAGTGAATTTACACAAAAAGCTGATATTTATGGTTTTGGTGTTATTATAGCTGAAATATCAACTAGACAAAAACCTTTTAATGGATGTGATTTCGATACTAAACTTTGAAAGGTTTTGCAAAGGAGAACGTCCAAAGTTTGCTCCTAGTACTCCGGAATGCTATATTGAATTAACTAGGTGGTGTATGGATTCCGATTCACAAAAACGACCTGATGCCAAAGAAATTAGGAGATTGGCTTGAGAAGATATCAAGTTCAGATAAAAATAAAATTAGAAAAGAAATTAAAGATTGGCTTAAGATATCAAGTTCAGATAAAAATGAAATTAAAAAGCAATTCTTAGATTCTAATAAAGTCATTAAAACATTACTAATTATTTTACCAAGTCATCCTGATGAAATGTATACCAGCAAAATTATTAGAACAAAATTAATTTCAAATGAGATTAAATAAGGTAATTTATTTTAATTTACTGGTTTAATTGAATTATTTAAATTATTTTTTCTTTTAGATTTGCCTCAAACTGATTCTGCTCAATTTAAACTTGATGTTTCTAATTAATTATAAAGTTTTAGGTAAATTAACTTTTAAATTAGAGTGTTGCTAATTTTTACCCTAGGTGATATCACTTCTTTATATGTGAAGCCAATCAGATCGCAAGTTTTGTATAACAAAAATAAAGAAAATTTTAAGAAAAAAATAAAAAATCGTAAATATCTCAAAATTTTATTTTATTTTATTTTTTTTTTGAAACTTAGGCGATTTTGCCTTTCATTTATTGAGAGAAAACATAAAATATGTTATAACAAAAATATAAACTAAGCTAAGCTAGTTACATAATGTCTTCTCCATGCAAATCTGAACTCACTCGGCTGCCAGACGGTGTCCAGATGTGATTTAACTGCAATAGTCAAATTTTCTTCTCAAAAGAATAGTTTGCTGAAGCAAAGTCATATTCAAATGATCAACAAAAGGTTACTATATACCATTCTTATCAAGATTATCTAATTCTCTAACCTTCTTCTCCTAGCTTCCTGAGCTGAAGAATTTATATTCCAACTGACTAATAAAAAAACAAATAACAAGAAATATAAAAAGGAAAAAACAAAAAGAGGGAAAAAGCTGTCTATACGAAAAAAAGAAAATACAAAAAGAAAATGAAAGAAGAAAAAGAAGGCAGAAAAAAAGTTAATCAAGATAGAACACACTATTATAGCCTGTGCTAAGGCATAAAAGATAAAAATTATTTATAGTACTAACATATATACTATAAATTTTAAGTATAACTTCTCGTTAACTATCATTCTATTTATGTAAGCAGATCTGTGTTGGCTTCACGTATATTAATCAACTTGTAAACAATCAAGATGTGACTTGCCCAAAATAGAAGGTGGTACAAGTGCTGATCCTTTGTTGGGGGTGAGCCAGAATTTCTACTTTTTCAAAATGAAAACAAAATAAAAAAGCTACGGTTGTCATATCAGTTTTGTTGGTCAAAGGATAGGGAAGGTTGCTTGCAAAAACCAGTTACAAAGTGAAAAAAAGTTGAAGTGTTTGCCCTAATGCAAAACACTGTTTGTTGTTTCTTCTTCTTCTCTACTACTTCTTTTCTTCTTCTTTTTCTTTAAAACGCTATAATGTAAACTTTCAGCCAAAATAATAGTATTATCATCTACTAGGTCTTTCTGCCTCTTACATAAAGTATACTAGGCTATACAACTTGCACTTCTATTTAATAACTACTATTTTTCTAGGTTTCTTAGAGTTTTAAATTATTTTGTATTTAAAAAATATTTGCTCTGTAATGGTTTAGATGAACAGCAGGGAGAGTTAGTATCATCTCAAAATTTTATTATAAAAACTAGTTTTGAGTTATTAAGTAACAGTTTTTAGTATATAATTTTACATATACAAAACTTCTAAGCCTAACTCTAATACGAATTCGAACTCTAACTTTTAAAAGTTTATTTTATTTAATAATTTTATAATATATGTAATTTTGACTAAACTTTTATAATTTTAGCTAAAATATAAAATTAATTTTAATTAAAATTATAAATTTATTAATAATATTTAAAAGGTAGATCACAAATTATAAGTATAAAATAATTGATATTTAATAGTAATATATAGTAGGCATTTAATAGTAAAATTATATATTCTTGAGAATAGTGAATATTTTTATTTTAAAATAGCAAAAAATTAAAAATATATAATAAAGCTCATAAACAAAGACTAAATAAACTCAGATCTTTATTATGATTTATATATATAAGATTAGTGAATTCTGAATCTAAAAATTACAAATAATAATACTTTAACTTTTTTTTTCATCTTTATATACAGATAATTTAAGAGTCTTGCTAAAATAAAAAGACAAGCTTATAAACTACTTGTTCAGATTTTTTATAAATATTATAATAGCTATAATATATGAAACAAAATAAGTAAAACTAAGTAACTTAAAAATATAACAAATATTAGATCAGAAAATAGTAGTAATAAAAATATAAACTGAAAAAATATATAAAATATGCTTAATAATTACTAGAGCTCAAGCAACTCTTTCTGACGATCATCAAAACCAAAACAACAAGTCAACAAAAATTTTTTTCTTATACTACTACCTAGTAAAACTACTTAAAGTGACTGACTACATGAAGAATAAACTACGAGGCTGTGATAAGCTAGTAGCAAAAACTGCAACAAGTCAGTTTCAAGGTTATACTGGGTCCTTTGGCTATCTGACTTTGGCAGTGTGACTTTAAGTTAGTTTAGTAGAAAGGTATCAATAGTGAAAAGAAGAAGTATAAGAAGGACCCCAACTATGCTTGTGCTAGGTCAAGCATATAACCACTCTCTTAGTTTTGTTTTTTTGAAGAACTGCTTCCTTTATTT